ACAGAATCGGAAGCAGGATGCCCAGAGCCCGACGCGGGGCTCGAACTCACGGACCGCGAGATCGTGACCTGGCTGAAGTCGGACGCTTAACCGACTGCGCCACCCAGGCGCCCCTTAAATGTATTTTTAACACTAATATGAAAAAAACATGAAATTTTAGTTAATAATTCTCAAATTGCTGCTTGTAAGAAATTGTCTAGAGAGCTTATAAAAAATACCAAGGCCCAGGCCACATGTTTAGATCAATTCAATTAGAATTTCAGAGGTTAGGCATGAAATTAGTATTCTTTAAAGCTTCCCAAGAGGGGCGCCTGGGTGGCGCAGTCGGTTAAGCGTCCGACTCAGCCAGGTCACGATCTCGCGGTCCATGAGTTCGAGCCCCGCGTCGGGCTCTGGGCTGATGGCTCGGAGCCTGGAGCCTGTTTCCGATTCTGTGTCTCCCTCTCTCTCTGCCCCTCCCCCGTTCATGCTCTGTCTCTTTCTGTCCCAAAAATAAAATAAAAACGTTGAAAAAAAAAAATTTAAAAAAAAAAAAAGCTTCCCAAGAGACTCCAATATGCATACAAGGATGAAAATCACTCTTTTAGCTAAAACAGGACTACTGACTTTAATATGTTATACATTTATCTTGGAACATGGTTAATTAAGTCATGAGGTGTCCTAGGACTGTGACTTCAAAAATATATCATAGGCCCTAACCTTAAGACACCTCATGACAAAGACCTCAAGTATAGTGTTAGCCAGAAATTTCAGTGTTTTTCAAAAGCAGAAACAGTTTACCTTCATTTTCTACATTTCTCCTCTTCTCATTTTCCTGTTCTACTTTTCTTTGGTACTCATTAATTCTATGCTGTAGCAACATTTTCTCTTTCTCAATCTGAGACACTGTAGACTCTAGGTTTCTTCTTTGATTTCCCTGTAAACATAATGATAAAAGTCACCACTGCAATTAAACTCTTTATTTATTTAGAAGAATACTATATTCTTTTAAAATAAAACACACAATGGGGTGCCTGGGTGGCTCAGTTGGTTAAGCATCTGACTCTTGATTTTGGCTCAGGCCATGATCTTCCGGTTCATGAGATTGAGACCTGTGTCAGACTCTGTGCTGTCAGCTTGGGATTCTCTCCCTCCTTCCCTCTCTTTCTCTCAAAATAAATGAATAAATTAAAAAAAAAAGAAGACTTAAGATGGATTTTTTTTGGTTTCAAAATCAGAAAGTACCTGTAACGACAACTTTCTAAAAATAGAATTAGCTTGCTTTATAGGAAGACTGAGAGAAATCCCTTATTCAAACTAGATATGGAAAATTTTCAGATTTTTAAATCCATGAATATAAAAAGCTATGAATCTTATCAGAAAGCTGCTTTATTAGTTTAAGATGACCACACTGAATTCCATTACCAATATTTTGGTTTATTTATAATCCTAAATTAAAGATATAAATATGAAAGATAATAATTACACATTTGATAATTAAATGGTGCAAAACTCAAATGGTACCAAATGCTAGTGTGTGTAGTAAGTTCACTAGTCCCTATGTGTCTCCTTTAGTCCTCTTCCTGTCTCAACAACTCACCTTTTCTAAAATGTTCTATGTATCTACCCACTAACGCATATTTAAAAAGTAATGAAGGAGACACTTACTTTAGAAAATAAAACTGCAGGGGAGGGGAGGGTTAAAGAAAAAAAAAAAATAGCCAAACCTTCACAACTTAAAAATTTATCTTTTTTTCTGAGTTACCACTTCCATATCGTGCTTTTGAAGCTTCATTTTTTTAAGACTCCACACTGGGAAAACCTCCGTTACAGTGTTTTTCTGGGCTTTCCCATCATTAGGCAAAACTCATGTTTTAAGGACGATGCTGTTAGGTTTAGTAAAATTTGCAGAGATCATTCAAGATCTTTCTAATTCTGAGATTTTATCATTCTAACTTTTAATTCTTTTCATTTTTAAATTTTGATTTCAGGAAGTTGCAAAGATACCACAGAGAGGTTTCTTGTACTCTTCCACTCAGTTTCCCCTAATAGATACATTTTATGTAACATCAGCACAGTAACAAAATCAGGAAATTGATACTGGTATAAGGTATGTATGTTTCTGTTATTTTAGCTTATGTGTAGATTCATGGAACCACCATTGCAATCAAGATACAGAACTGTTCCACTGGCACAAGATCTCCTTCCAGCCAGCCACTACTTAAGAGCTTAGAAGCTGCCCTTCTCCCACCACCCACATTCCTGGCAACCAGTAATAGGTTCTCCGTGTGTGTAATTTTGACTTTCTTTGAGAATACGGTATTAATGGAATCACACAGTATGGACCTTTTGGGAATGGCTTTTTACACTCGATATAATGCCCACAAGATCCATCCAAGTTGTTGTGTGTATCAATAGTTCATGCCTTTTTGTTGCTGAGTAGTACTCCATGGTATAAATGTATCAAAGTTGGTTCAACCATTCACCTATGGTAGGACATTTTGATTATTTCTAGTTTTTGGCATTACAAATAAGGCTATTATGAACAACAGTATACAGGTTTTTTAAGGATATAAGTTTTTTTTTTTTTTTTTCTAGGATAAATGCCCACAAGTGCAATTGCTGGGTCGCCTGGTAGATGCATGCTTAGTATTTTAGGAAACTGCAGCAGTATTTTTCAGATTGGCTGTACAATTTTAAATTCCCATTTGCAATGCATGAGTGATAGTTTTTCTATATTCTTGCCAGTTTTGGTGTTGATGCTATTTTTTATTTTACTTGCTCTAATGATTATAAAGTGATTTCTCATGGTAGTTTTAATTTGCATTTCCCTCATGGCTAATGATGTTGAGCATCTCTTCATGTGTTTGTCATTCACTCTGATAAGTGACATGTCTTCTGCCAATTTTCAAATGAGATTATTTGTTTATTCAACTGCTGAGCTTTAGAGTTCTTGATTCTAGATAGAGTCCTTTGTGATATACATAGTTTGCAAATATTTTTTCCCAATCTATTTCTTGTCATTTCATCTTCTTATCATGTTCTTTCACAGAACAAATATTGTTAATTCTCATGAAGTCCAAATTGTTGAATATTTTTCCTCATGTGGATCATGTTTGTGGTGTCATGTCTAAGAACTTTTCACCAAGCTGTAGGTCCCTAGGGTTTTCACTTATTTTTTCCTAAAAGTTTTATATTTTCATGTTTACCTTAAAATATGACCCATCTTGAATTAATTTTTGCATAAAGTATGAGACTTAAGTTGAGGTTCATGTCTTGGTCTATGAATATCTAATTGCTCCAGCACCACTTGTTAAAAAGACTCTTTCGGGGCGCCTGGGTGGCGCAGTCGGTTGAGCGTCCGACTTCAGCCGGGTCACGATCTCGCGGTCCGTGAGTTCGAGCCCCGCGTCGGGCTCTGGGCTGATGGCTCAGAGCCTGGAGCCTGTTTCCATTTCTGTGTCTCCCTCTCTCTCTGCCCCTCGCCTGTTCATGCTCTGTCTCTCACTGTCCCCAAAATAAATAAACGTTGAAAAAAAAAATTTAAAAAAGACTCTTTCCTCCATTAAATTGCTTTTACACCTTTGTAAAAAAATCAGTTGGCTGTAAATGAGAGACACTGATTTATGATTTTCTTCATAGTACTGTCTTTGTTAGATTTTGTCATCTGGGTAATTCTAGTCTCATAAAACTCACTGGGGAATGTTCCCTTCTCTTATATTTTCTGGAAGAGATAGTGTAGAATAGGTATTAATTCTTTTTAAAACATTTGGTGGAACTGTCTAGTAAAACCACCTGGTCCTGGAAGATTACTTTTTGGGAGACTTTTAAATTATGAATTCACTTTAATAGTTATATAGGACTATTCAACTAATCTATTTCACGTTGTGTGAGTTGTGGTAATTTGTATTTTTGGCAGATTTATTACATTCCACCTAGATTTCACACTTACATGTTTAGAATTGTTTATAGTATTCCTTTATGATCCTTTTGGTATCTGGAGGGACTATAGTGATATGCTTGCCCTGTTTTATTCCTGATACTGATCATTTGTGTCCTCTTTTTCCTCTATCAATATTGCTAAAGGTCTGTCAATTTTCCAAATAGCTGGCTTTCTGTTTTCATTGATTTTCTCTATTGTTTTTCTATTTTCAATTCCACTGATCTCTACTCTTATCTTTATTTCTCTTCCCTTCTTTTTGCTTTGATTTTACTCTTCTAAGTTCTTGAGGTAGGTGCTTAGATGACTGATTTGAGATTTTTCGTCTTTTCTAATGTATGCCTTTACTGCATAAATTTATCTTAGAACACTATGTTAGCTGCATCCCACAAATTTTGATGTTCTATTTTCATTTTCATTGTTCAAATTTTTTTTTAAAGATGAAGAGCCATAACTTATTTTATTATTGTATGGCTGACACACAATATTATATTAGTTTCAGGTGTACAGCACAGTGATATGACAGTTCTATCCATTACTCCATGCTCACCATGTAAGTATAGTCACCATACAATGTTATTACAATATTACTGACTATATTTCCTATGCTGTGCATTTCATCTCCATGATTTTGTAAATAGAAGTTTGCACCTCTTCACCAATTTTACCCATATCACCAGCAACCATCAGTTTGTTCTCTGTATTTGAGTCTGTTTTTTTGTTTGTTTTCCAGATTCCATATATAAGTGAAATTATATGGTAACTGTCTTTCTCTGCCCGTCTTATTTCACTTAGCATATAAACCTCTGGGCCCATATAGGTTGTTGCAAATGGCAAGATTTCATTTTTTTTTAATAAGAGCCATAACTCTAATGTAATGAGATGTAATTAACATTCCAACATAACCTTTCATTCCCGTTTAGAAGTATCCTTTGACCTATGGATTAGTTAGAACTGTGTTGTTTAGTTTCCATATGTTTGCAGAATTGCTTGATATATTAGTCATTCTAGTTTGATTACATTTTGGCCAGAGAACACATTCTGTATAATTTTAATTTTTTTTTTTTTTTTTTTTTTGCAGAAGTTTGCTCAGGATATGGTCTATGTTGGTATGTATTCCTTGAATGCTTGAAAAGAATGTATATTTTGCTGTTGTCAGGCAGAGGATTTTACAAATGTTAAACATATCTTGTTGGTTGATGGTGTGGTTGAGCTTTCCTATAGGTTTGTGGATTCTCTGTCTAGAGAGTGATAGATATTGAAGTCTCCAACGATAATAATGGATCTGTCTATTCATCTTTTCAGTTTTATTGGCTTTTACTTCACATATTTTGTAGGTCTGTTTGGCAGATACAAATTTATGAATACTATTATTTTCTTAGTGGACTGATCTTAAACTTAGCATACTTGAATTTTACCTGTTTTTTAGAAATGAAATACCCAAAGCTGAGGATTTGCAAAATGGATTTCTTAAAGAGACTTAAATAAATAGTACTAATTATACACTGACCAATGGCAAGTTGGCAAAATATTATACATATATGCATAACATGTATATGTATTACATAAATATAAATATACAAAGCTACAAATGAAAAAAAAAAAAACTGACAGATACTATTCCTCAGGAGAAAATTAAGATAGCACAAAAACCACCAGAAAGATTAACTAAAAAAAAAAAACAAAAAAACCCCCAAAACAAAACAACAACAACAAAGGAAGTAATCAATAAGAAGGCCATAGAAAGTATATTTCTTTGAAGGGTACTCTTTATACACAGAGTAGAAAGATATCTATAAGCTTATCAAAAGGAATGACAATGTATTATATATTTGCAAACAAACATCTGAATCATGAAATTTTTCCCTGATAACAAAAACTTCTTGCTAGGTGACCATACAAAACATGAATGATTCTAAAATCAATATATTACTCATTTGATCACATAAACTTATGTTAATGTCAGTCCTTTTTAAATTGTATTCTTTCCTCCTTCCTATTTGTCGGTCTCTTTCTGATGTAGTTCGGATCCCATTTGATTCTCTTTTCTCACTTTTTAAATGTTAAGTAAGAACAATTGAAATGAAATTTATGTACTAAGATTTCAACATGGTTCTAGCATAAAACTACACAAAGGAAACTGAAGTTTAATCTAATCTGTATCACTTGAACCTACAGCTCCAAAGTGAGGCTTTCATCATAGTTCTCTGACTTTGTTCTGTATTTAAACCTATAAAGTTCCAATGCAATTTTCTTAGAAAACAAAACAATCTGAAAGAGGAAAAACTCTCAAACAGGGAAACTTCTGATTAGAAAACAAAAGTACCTCTTCATCCAATTCTTTCATTATCTTGTCTAGTTTTATGTTTGAAGTTCTGTAAAAACAAAAGCAATATAGATTAGAAATATGTTTATCTTTTTATTGCTCAGGGGTGCAACACCACATTCTTTACATTTCTGTTTAACTAAGATGTCTTAACTGTTTTTGTGCTGTGGATCCCCTTTGGCACTCTGGTAAAGCCTGTGGGTTTTTCTCAGAATAATATATTTTAAAGCAAAAAAGGATTAAAAAAGCCGAAAATATATTAAATATAGTCTTTAAAAAAATGTGTTTCAGGAATATGTGTGGCTTCTTTATTAATATATTAAATCACAAGATCTAGCAGCAGTAATTTCAAAGTAGTGATGAGCACAAATGATAGAGATAACTATAATAAATAAAAATATTTGTAGTATCTATTAGTAATAAAAAAATTCAGCTACTGCTAATAGATGTAGATTACTGCTTTTGTTCATAGTGGAAGGAAATGTTGAATATCAGCTATAAGTTAGGGAAAATACTTTTTCTCATCCAAGTTTAAGGACCTTGAATTCATCCATGGACCCTTTGTGGGACAGACCCTATGGATTCCAGGTTAAGGATCCCTGAACTTCCTAATGCAATACTTGCTAATAAACAAAAATTAGCCACTTAACCTTTATACAAGATTACATAGTGAAGAGAAAGGTGGCATATATGGATCAGTAAATATACCACTTAACAAGTAAGGTGAAAAGTTGAGATAAACTAAGAGTGTATTATCTCCATCACATTTTGTTTTCTTTGGCTCTGAATAGAATTCTGAGCTTCAAATCTGCATATGCAATGTTTCACATGTATGTTTCATCAAATACGTCACTCAGCACGCCCAAAATGTTGCTTCCTCTGCTCCACACTCTTACCTATAATATTAATTTCTTCCTACTGTAAGTGTCCCTAAGAAAGGACATGACCTAGGAACCATCCTTGACTCATCTTCCTCCTTCATTCCCATTTAGTTGAATAAAGTGCTGCCAACTAACTAGAGTGTTCTTTTTAAAAAGCAAATTTGATCAATTTTTTAAGCTTAATAACTTTCAATGTTTTTCCATCATCTTAGAATAAGTTCCAAATTTCTTAGCTTGTTAAAAACAAAGTCCACCAAGATCTACATTCTGTTTATCTTTCCACCCCCATTCCTCTCCTCTAACATTTTCCTATCATTACAGACCACTTTGGCCATTCCTATTACTTCCTCAAATTGATTTCCATTGCCACTATCATTAGTTTAATTTTGGATGCAGAAACTTCTCAACATTTATGCATTTCCATATTTTATACTTAGAAATTCCTTCCAAATCCTGAGATCAGTTAATTATCTCCTAATATGTAAGTGCTTTTCTGAAAAAAGTTTGCACTATATACTAATGTATTTAGTCTATCAGGAATGGTATGCAATAAGAGTTTTACTTATTTCCTCTTTGGCCCAATCACAAAAATGCCAGTTTTCCAATGCCATTTGTTGAATGTTACCTATTGTTGAATGTGTTACTTATTTATTCAATAGTTTCCACAAAAAATATAAAGTTATTGTTTGTAGTTAATAAGTAACTCAGCATTGTGCCAGGTTATTTTAAATAATATTCATCATTACATATTTCATAAATATACAGGCTCTTATTAGATTTAGTGAATTTTAATATTTAACATTTACATTTTAAAAAGCACCTCATTTAATGTAATCTAATTTGCCTTTCAGTCAGCTAATTAAAATGGGAGGAAAAAAGTAATAAATCAAGCACTAAGTGAATAGGCACTATAGTTTTTTAATAAAGACTTCCAGGAACAAATACATTTTAAATATTCTGAGGACAATATGTCTATAACTAATGCCAACATAAATATTACTTTCCAATTCTAGGCAAGACATTCTTCACTGAATGTACATAAGCAGTAACTGTATATCGCCATCTTATTTCCAATTAATTTTCAACTATTTTATAGAAGGCAAGTTTTAAAAAAAAGTATTTGCTGTACAACCTTTAATGTTAAAAACATACAAAGTATATTCTCACCTGCACTTCTGCTCCATTTCATCTTTTAATTGCATTTCATTATGCAGTTGTTCTTCCAGCTTATAAATTGTTTTTTGCAAATTTTCCTGCTTTAATCAAAAACAAAACAAAACTCATCCTACAAGAATATTCATAGAGAACTTAAAAATAACAAGTTTATGTTATTCTATACCTACTCAAGAATAAATTATTTGGTTCAATCTTACCCCTTTCCTTTCAATCTGAATTTATTATTAATTTAATAAGCATTTTTTCAACACCTACAAATATGTCAGGCACTGTGGTAGACATTAGTAATACAAAAAATTAAAAAGATTTGGTCCCTGTGCTTATGAAGCTAAGACTTAAACAGAGAGGCACAGAAGAATAGGAGGATGAAAAGAACCTACAACAATCCAAAGACATACACACAAATATTACAATATAATGTAGTGATGATAAAGTTATATGATGATAAAGTTATATATGAGGTGTTCCAAAGGAGGGAAGAGGTCATGTCTAATTCTGCCATGAAAATGCCATGTTTGAAATGAGACTTAAAATATGAGAGATATTTACTAAGCAGAAAAGGTGGTAGAAGAAAGGCATTTTAGCCAGAATGAATGAGTCCAAAAGTAGAGAGGTAAAAGAAAACATGATATATTTTGGAAATGGGAAGAAATCAAACATAGGCAGAGCCCAGAACAGACTGAATGAGTCACATAAAATCTGAAAAGGTGAGTGAGGCCATGATTCTTGTATGCAAAAATAGGAGTTAGGGACTTTAACCTACAAGCATTTTAAAAAGGGAAACAATATAGTATCTGCATTTTACTTTACAGAGACAGAGAGAATGCAAGTAGGGGAGAGGAGCAGGGGGAGGGGGACAGAGAGAGACGGTGGGGGGGAAGACAGAGAGAGAGAGAGAGCGAGAGAGAGAGAGAGAGAGAGAGAGACAGAGAGAGAAAATCTCAAGTACGCTCTACGTTGAGCATAGGGCCCAATCCCACAACCTTAGGGCCATGACCTGAGCCGAAATCAAAAGCTGGACACCCAACTGACAGAGTCACCTAGGCAACATTATTATTATCATTATTATTAGTTTCTGCATTTTAGAAATGCCACTTCAGTAACAATAAGGTGAAAAGAATAGAGGGAAGAGAAATTCTACTCAAAGTAACCAGTTAACAGGCTTTCGAGACAGTTCAAGCAAAAAAGCATATAGGTTTGATATGAGGCAGAGGCTGTAGGAATGAAGAGGAGGAAATGGATAACTGTGTCATTCAGAAGGCAGAAGTAACCTAATAACTGATTAAAAATAAGAGACAAAAAAGTACAGCATAGGGAATAGTCAATAACATAATAACATGTATGATGACAGTTGGTAACTACACTTATTATAGTGAGCATCGAGTAATGTATAGAATTGTCAAGTCACTATATTGTACACCTGAAACTTATGTATCATTGTAGGTCAACTGTACTTCAATAATACAAATGTTTTATTTTTTTTTTAATTTTTTTTCAACGTTTTTATTTATTTTTGGGACAGAGAGAGACAGAGCATGAACAGGGGAGGGGCAGAGAGAGAGGGAGACACAGAATCGGAAACAGGCTCCAGGCTCCGAGCCATCAGCCCAGAGCCTGACGCGGGGCTCGAACTCACGGACCGTGAGATCGTGACCTGGCTGAAGTCGGACGCTTAACCGACTGCGCCACCCAGGCGCCCCTAACACAAATGTTTTAAAAATCAAAGTGGGATGGGGCACCTGGGTGGCGCAGTCGGTTAAGCATCTGACTTCGGCTCAGGTCATAATCTCATGGTTCATGAGTTCAAGCCCCAGATTACGCTTTCTGCTGTCAGCACAGAGCTTCCTTCGGATGGATGCTCTGTCCCTCTCTCTCTCTGCCCCTCCTCTGTTCATTCTCCCTCTGTCTCAAAAATAAATGTTTTTCAAAACTAATTAAAAAATTAAAAAGTGGGATTCTGAAAAAAAATGTCAACAGAAGAAAGAAAGAAAGAAAGAAAGAAAGAAAGAAAGAGAGAAAGAGAAAGAAAGAGAGACAGAGAAAGAACAGAGTACCATTACAAAAGATATGGAACACATAAGAGCTGCTTGGGAGGGGACAGAGAGAGGATGAGTTTAGCTCTGGCACAGGATGAAGTGCTTGTGCCTGACAGGACAGGAAAGGAAATCCAATCAGAGAGAGAGAGAGAGAGAGGAAGAGGCGAGGAGAGAGAAAAGAGAGAGAGAGACAGACAAGAGAGATACAGCTTTGGAGTTCAGAGGAGCAAGCTGCACACACGAGATTACCTACAAAAAATGAGCAGAGAGCCAAGATCAGAATCATCCTGAGAAACATTTAATAATTAAAGGGGAGGGAGAGAAGAAGAGGAGAGAAGAGGAGAAGGGGGAAGAGATCCTGCCAAAGGGATGGAAAATAAAATCTACACAGGTGGGAAGAAAAAAAAGAAAGAAGGGGAACATGAAAGGGTTACAAAAGTTCAAAGAAGGAGGAACTGATTAATCAGTGTCATTTGCAGCAAAAAAGAAAAATAAGATAGGAATGAAAATTATTCATTATATTTGTCAATTGCAAAGCTGTTCATTAGCATTTGCTGGAAGGCTTTCAAGGAAGAGTAGAAAATTACATCAGCTGACTTTTGTATTTAGCTGTTAACAGAAAGAGTAGGCACATCAAATTTTTTTTCTTCCCCTGTGATCTTTCTTACCAGAGCAAAAGATAAAAGGTAGCAGCAGCCAACGACAGAAATTGAACAAGATCAGCCCAAAGAAAACACAATTGCACTAAATATTCTTTGAAGCCCGATGTACCACTACTCCTACAGATAAGTAATAAGTGAGAGCTGGGTTATAGCAGCGCCTTATTGTCACATTCCCTAGGTCAAAGATTCTTTAACTTTAAAGATTTCTGAGCCGTTGTTAACTATGTAACTTTAATAGCTCTAATAGGATGAGAATTTAAAAGACATAGATGGTCAATGGGGCGCCTGGGTGGCGCAGTCGGTTAAGCATCCGACTTCAGCTCAGGTCACGATCTTGCGGTCCGTGAGTTCGAGCCCCACATCAGGCTCTGGGCTGATGGCTCAGAGCCTGGAGCCTGCTTCCGATTCTGTGTCTCCTCTCTCTGCCCCTCCCCCCTTCATGCTCTGTCTCTCTCTGTCTCAAAAATAAATAAACGTTAAAAAAAAAATTTTTTTTAAAGACATAGATGGTCAAAACAGCTAACAGGTACTCACACAGTTCACTCTCCCTTTTTCCACTTTCCCTTCACATCACCTGTTCAATCTTACATTTAAGAGTAAATATATTAAGAAGCAAGAGAATTACATCAGCTTTTAAAACATGATTGCTACTTACAGTCCCCTCCTCAGTTAATAATATGTAGGCCACAATACACAGAGTTCAAAGAACTCTCCAAGGATGGCCAAATAATTATTTCTAACATATTTTTTTAAGTAAGCTCTATGCCCGACATGGGGCTTGACCTCAAGACCCCAAGATTGAGAGTCTCATGCTCTACCAACTGAGCCAACCAGGTGCCCCAACTGTTTTTAGTATTTTTTTTTTAATTTTTTTAACATTTATTTATTTATTTTTTGAGACAGAGGGAGACAGAGCATGAATGGGGGAGGGTCAGAGAGAGGGAGACACAGAATCTGAAACAGGCTCCAGGCTCTGAGCTGTCAGCACAGAGCCCGACGTGGGGCTCGAACTCACGGAGTGTGAGATCGTGACCTGAGCCGAAGTCGGCCGCTTAACCGACTGAGCCACCCAGGCGCCCCTGTTTTTAGTATTTTTAAGAAAAGTCTTGGTCAACTCTAAAGGACCTTCTCAAATCTAAGTAAGATTTTTTAACCTCTGTCCCATGAACATGAGCTAAATGGACAATAAAAAGGACTCCTGTCTCTAATAATTACTTATAACAGTAATTTTCAGTGGACAAATTAGATGGTGCTGACTATACTGGTTATTCTCCCATTTGCTTTCTCTCTTTTCTAGCCATGAAATCCATGCTCCTTGAAATCAATCCTTCCTTTGGCTTGAAATCTATAGACTGCATTACCTGGGTTTACTGTTCTACTTTAATAAATGGGAGACACCAGTAGGAAATCAAAAGGTGGGATAATGAAAGTGTTCATTCTCCCCACCTTTTTATTGCCTTACTGTGGTGATAGCAGTGTTCTACATTCTATGTTCCTCTTTGATGATGCTAGGTTTTTCTGAACTATGGCAACAATACCTGTCTCTCCCTGTCCTTTCAAACTAGGGACAATAGTTTCCCACTATTGTTGATCAATGGGTATTTTCACAGCCTTTATTTATTGCTCCTCTTGACCCTGCTCATGGCACTGTAAATAGTCCTTTCACTAAACTCTCTTTTAATGAGCGAACAAAATGTGGTATATACACAGAATGTGATATATTCAGCCTTAAAAAGGAATCAAATTCTGAAACATGTTACAACATGGAGAAACCATGGCTAAGTGAAATAACCCAATCACAAAAAGTCAAATATTGTACGATTCCACTTACATGAGGTGTCTAGAATAGTCAAATTCATACAGACAGAGAAAGTAGGATAGTGATTACTCAGGGCTGGGGGTAGTGGAATAAAGAGTTTAATGTGCACAAAGTTTTAGTTTGGGATGAAGAAAAATTCTGGAGATAGATGGTGGTAGAAAACAATGTGAAGGTGGTTTTTTTTAATGTTTTTAAATTTATTTTTGGGAGAGACAGAGCACAAGTGGGAGAGGGGCAGAGAGAGAGGGAGACACAGAATCCAAAGCAGGCTCCAGGCTCTGAGCTATCAGCACAGAGCCTGACACAGAGCTTGAACCCACAAACCGTAAGAGCATGACCTAAGCCGAAGTCAGACGCTTAACCGACTGAACCACCCAGGCGCCCCCATTACCACAGAACTATACACCTAAAAATGGCTAAAATGGTAAATTTTATGTTATGTATATTTCATCATATATACAACACTCTCTTTAGTTAAGTCTTTTGTTTATGTTACCTGTTTTCTTGTCAAGACCCGTACTGATACCTTGATTTACCATAAATTCCTAATTCTAAAGATTAGAAAGACTGCCACTGTCAATTTGTGTAGCAATTTATAGTTTATTAATTATCTCCACATAAAATATCCCATTTGATATTCAGGCAAGAAATCAAATTGGAAAGAGATAGTAGGTTAAAAAATACTATCAAAATTTAAGTTCACTAACTACACAATCAAAAGAAATATGTTTACTTACTTAATGTTTACTTAATATCATGCACACAAAACACACTGTCCACAAAATAACTTTTTAAAAAATAAGAAAAAAATACCTACCAAGCTTTTATCCACATTGGGGCTACTTCGGTTATCATTAGGATTTGCTGAAGATAAGTATCTGAGAGAAAAAGAGTTTTTAGAACTAAAAGAACCAAAAACCTCTTCAATATTCAATAACCGGTAACATATACTACATACTTATTTTTTGGTTTAGTATTGTGCTTGTTCTTCTTTTGAAAAATTGAGTACAAGTTCATGACTCCTTATTTTATATAAAGATTTTATGTAAAGATACATATGTATAAAAGTGATATATACATTAAATAAAACCCCCAGTTAGGTCAGAGCAGCACTCTGTAATTATATACCTTACTATCCCTGCAGCCACACATATGACTATTCATACCAAGTAGGATAAATAAAAACTATAAATAGTCTCGAGTTAGTTCAGATTAGGTTTTCGGCCATGAGAGCAGGCTATGGCAGCTTTTGCCACCAAACAAATCACTAAAGTATTTAAAGTTTTTAGAGCTTTTTGCAATAGGGATTGGGGATAAGGAATTGTTGATTTCTACAGAAATGTGCACAGCTTTTCTCTCTGCCCCAAATTACTCTTCAGCCAAGAATGATATTGCCTTTCTGGGCAAAAAAAGAGCTTTTGCCTAAATAGTTAACATAACCTAAGTTCTGGTGATGTCTTGCTAACCTTTTGAGACTCCAAGGCTTTATATTGACTATAAAGGTAGGTAACATATAAGATAGTAGTGATCTTTAGAAGTCTTTAGATATCTTATGAGATTTTTAAACACATCTAAATAGATCATATGAAAAAGATTTTCTAAGCTCTCAAATGTTATATAAAGGTAAGGTACTAGTGCTGCCTTTTCTACTGCTTCTGCTACTTCCTCTACCATACTACAACTACCACTATTAATACTTCTACCATCACCACCACTATAGTTGCCACCGTGGTCAATCAGTAGAACACTCTCAAAAAGATATCAAATAGCTCCATATACTTCCTAGCTGTTTTAGGGCAACTGATAATGCACTACATATTCACTACTAGTAAAAAACAGAAGATAAGTTCCTTTAAGAGTGTTCTAAAAAAAAAAAAAAAGGAAAATATGCCATTTTTATGTTTTCCTTGGAAAATTATTCAGATCAACTAGAGAATAAAATAATCAGAAGACAGTTTTTAGGCACTGTGTAGCAGGTTTGTAGAAAAAAGGTCTCATGTAACAAATGACAAATTCTAGATGTAGTACAATTTCATTCCATTAACTACTGTCTCAGAAATTCAGTGTGAGATTCCACATTATGTGATGTAAATAAAAGCATATGGCAATGCCAGTAGAATCTGAATTAGATAGGAAATCAGACCATTTTCTAAGAGATCTTCTAAATTTTAATATGCTATATAAGTTGAAGTTAATATTTAGCCTCTGCAAAGTTAATAATATAACTTTCTCAAAATGCAGCACTGGAAATTAAGGACACCAAATGTACGCATCCATTCATTCTTTCACTCTCCCCCCCCCCCCAAAGATCTTTTGTATATTACATTGTTGCTTTCATATAGAATCTGGTCATTTAGATAGCTCTTTATGAGTGGTTTTAGATTATTACAAATGTATCTAGAAGTTTAACCTTTAGACTATTAACAATCTTTGTTCATTTCGCTGTATTTCAGCAATAAAGATCTCTACCCTTGGTAACTGAAAGTATGTTTCAGGAGTAAGAATTTCAGAAGTTTTCTATTTCATGCCAATAACTCAAATTATACTTACATTTTATACTAAGGCTAATCAGTATTTTGCTGATTCTTTAAGATCAACCACACCTTCGACCATGTTATAAACAATTACTAAACAACACTATATTATGCAATAAGGTGGTGGTACTGAAGAACAGAGTACAATTTCTGTTTTTGAGAAACTCAGAAATTAGTTTGGAATATGCAACATATGGATGCCAGGAAAAACTAGAGAACATAATCAAGTATGTGACAATGTACTACAAATAGTATGTATAATGTTTATTTAATTCAAGATTACTTTTATATCAATAAACCTAAAAAAAGTGATTAACTGATATAACTACATAAAATCCAAAAACACTGGGGGGGGGGGGTGTTTATATCAACATTACAACTGTTCAGAAAGCAAGCCAGAGGATAACTGATAAAAGGTACAAAAATATAGACAGGAAGACAGAAAGAAAGAACTCTTTAGCAAAAACCACTCTGAAAAACTTGTCTGTGTATTTTTTTTTCCTCTGTGTATTTCAATATAAAATAGCTACAATGTCATATTCACGAATATTGTGGGAAAAGGATTAAAATACTGGACTTTTCTTAGAATCAAAGTCAAGTACTACCTGCCTGGTTGGTGATACAACAAAAAGTGTTCAGTACTATCTTACAGTTGTATTATTGGAGAAATCTCATAAGGCAGGACTAATCTGCCTTCCTGTTTTCTAAACTTGGCCTGAATAGGGTCTTATAAAAAAGTTTTGACTAAAATGACAAAATGCTACACTTGAAAATATATCCACTTCCTCACTAGTGTACGAGCATCTTAAGAGAAGGTACTAATAACTATATCTTATTCATCTTTCTCCCTGCATGCTTATTCATCTTTTTCTCCCTGACAAAAAATAAGTTGGCAAATATGTTTGTTTGAATGAATGAATGAATGCTCAACATACTGAAATTATGTTAAATGTTTAATTTGTTTCTCATATCGATTTGAAGACTAAAGCTAACAT